CTTTCCAACACCATTGCATTGTGATCCGAAATTGACTTTGGGAGTAAGACCTGAACAATATCTGAAAACATCACCAGAAAATTAGCATTCACTAAAAAACAATCAAGTCTAACAAAAGAAGGAACTTCCCTATTGTTGCACCATGTGAAGCTCCCTCTAGCCAACAGTAAGTCCACCAATTTAGCTTGAAAAACGAACTCCCTGGATAACCTTATAGAATGAGAATTCTGAGTTTTTCCAATTTTCTCCTCCTGAGACATACAAATTGAAATCACCTCCTAGGCACAAAAGGCAGTCCACTGTGCCAATGAAATTGAGAAGTTCCTAAAAAAAGCCTCCTTCTCCGACTCAACAATAGGGCCATACACATTTAAAAAGCAACACTCCTCTTTGTTGTCCCTGGTCATTCCCTTAATTACCAAGAACCGTGTAGAAATTTGCTGCACCTGAGATACAAACCAATTTTCATCCCATATACTTAGAATTCCTCCAGATGACCCTTCTAAAGGAGACACAGCAAACCCACTAAGATTCTTCCCCCTATCTTTCTCAACATAGTCGGTCTCACCAGTTCTAATTTAGTTTCTAGCAGAAATAACACAGATGGTTTCCTATTGGTAACCACACTCCTCACAACCCTTACCTTTTCCTTCCTCCCTAAACCCCTGATGTTCCACGTTAAACACGAGAAGCCTACCATGATACAAAAATCTTACACCTTATCCAAAGCTATGGGATTAATTCCCACCCTCCTTGCCCCTACTTTTGTTCACTTCCGAAAGTTTCTTGGCAAAAGCGTTATTCTCTCCCCTAAAAGTTACTCTCATCATTTTGCTAACCTGCCAAGTGGACATAAACTCCTCATTTGCTTCAGGATCTTTCATCACAGAACTTCCCACCTACAATTCCACTATGTACTTCTTGCTTGCTCTCTTATACACTCTGTTACAGAACACCATTGTACCACTTCTTGTACATCTCTGGTTCGATGGTGGGGATGAAGAACTCCTTCTGATTGTAATCATGTGTTGCGAACTGTCTAATTCTCTTTCAACAGCAAAACCTCTCCCTCGTAAAACTCCTTCCGAACCTTCTTGCTCCATTTCCACTTGAGGCAAGGCCCGATCATCCCTTTGTTTGCCAAACCCCAGCAGAGCTATGTTCACTGCAGGTCCATATGGTTTAATTCTCAAAATGGGAGAATTGGGCTCACAATTTTCCTCCGATTGAGCTTGTTCATTCAAATTTGGGTTTACAGTTTTCCTTAGACCAATACCCTCATATTCCCCGATAGGATTTCTCCCAGTACCAAGGAGATCTGACACCCCGTCTTTAATATGTTCCCTCTCTCTCTCTCTCCTGCAACAATGATTGTTGTCCCCCACTGTCGCCTTCAATTCCAATTGCTTCTCCTTCTTCCATCCACTGTCTACCCTTATTCGAGCTTTTCCTCAATTGACTGTTCAATTTCATCTTCCACCATTATCGTCCGGCCACCATCCTCATTCTCCGACGATGCATCCTCGCTAAACAAATCATTTTAAGCCCCCTCTGATTTCTTTTCTAAAAAAATCTCTCATTTTTTTGAACACTGAACCCAACTTAACTTTCACCTTAAAGGATCTCCCATATGATCCTAACGTAATCATATTCGGAACATGCCAAAGGAATTATCATCTTGTAAACAAAAGTTTTATTCCTCAACAAACACTAAAAATCTTACATGCTAACTCAAAATGGCAGCGAGTATGCTACGAAGAGAATATTAAGCTACAAAATTGTTATATATCCAATGACTACAGGTTTGTCTCATTTCTATTCATAATACTCTCATTGTGCTTTCTAGTTCCCACATATTTCAACAAATAAGAGCAACACAGTTAAAATGAGTAATGCAAACATAGTCTTGTGAAAGAAGACTACCATAAAAAATGGCATTCTGATGACACATTTTAATACAATAGAAAATTAAAGATACTATCTGACCAGGTATTAAGAAATCAATACATGGTAGGATTTTATTTGGCATGAAATAATAAGATTTGACTGAAAGCAAAACAACATGCCCTTAGTAGTTGATCCAATTCCATTACCAAGGTTTTTTTCACATGAATTAATAAAGAAAAGGAAGATTCATACCATATTCAAGAAAACTAGAATGTTGAGTTTTCAGATCCTACTAGGATGAAAACAAGCTTTATGTTTGTTAGAGAAAGAGATATGAAGTACGAACAATGTTTTTTTCCTCAATATCTCCTTTGTAGTATGTAACTAATCAAAAAATAAAAGAGGAAGAAGACCCAACTATGAACAATGACCAAAACCCAGTGCCCTATCTGGTCTAGGTACATATTGTGGAGCAGAAGTCCAAGAAGGCCTTGGTTCCAATCGATCAGCCCTGCCCCAAAAGTCTCTACAGGCAAAACTGTGTTTTTCCACTTATTAGATTGCACGTAACCAGATTAAACCCCATTTGTTGGAAACGCTGCCTTCCAATGTTGAAAAACACATGGTTTTATCTATGGAGACTTCCAGGGCAAGATTGATCGATTGGAACCATGGCCTTCTTGGACTTACGTCTGCACCACAATATCTACTTAGGCCAACTAGGGCAGTGGGTTTTGGTCATGGTTCACAGTAGAGTCTTCAATCGATTCAAAGTTTGTTAGGTGAATCAATTCATACTTTGCCCAGTCAACTAGTTCGAGACATTACTGGATAATTGATTCAAATCGGTCCACCCAAATCAATTCAAGAACTCCTACTCAATTCGAGTTTTGAGTTCGATTTTGGTGACTCAATTAGAGTCGTGTTTAATCCCGGAGGACATTAAATTGTCAATGTTGTTATCAATGCATTTTCAACTCTCACACCACATGTTATTAAGCTAAAACAGGCAATGTTACAAATTTGGTCCAATCATCGAAAAAAAAAGGATTTTGTTTTAATCCTTGAGAACAAGGATCTTTTCCATGTAGGGAATATTTTAATGGACTTCTATAAATAAATGAATATTCTAGTGGGCTATAAATTTTGGGCCACTCATTGTAATAGGTTATAAATATAATAGGTTTTAGGGTTACAATGATATGAGTGATCATTCTGGTGCAATCCTTGGTTCTTTTCAGGAACCGGATGGTTCTGGACCTCCAACATTGAAGGAACTTAAAGCTATCCAAAGGGGTATCGCTTTCTTTACCTCTGTCCTAGGGAGGGTTAAAGATAGGTTGATCATAGAGAGTGATAGCAGAGTTGCAGTAGACTGGATCAATAAGGTTGTCTCATGTCCAGCTGTTTATGGTTTCATTGTTAGAGATATTGTTGAGTGTCTTAAAACTGTCGGGGGGGTTGTTAGATGGATTGCAAGGACAGCTAATATGGATGCCGATGCTCTAGCAAAGGCTGGTATAGGTTGATTATTATGTTGTTGACTTCTATAGTTCGGTTTTATGGCTCAAGAATTGTTGTAAGAGTTCTACTTGGATTTTTCTTTCCAAGGTTGTAATTCTTATTTTCTTCAATGAAATTATAAGGCACTCTTTTCCTCCTTCCGATGATTAAGAAGCTTCTTTACAAGCTCCATTAATCAAGGAGGAGGTTTTTAAAGAGACCTTCAAATCTTATCAAAAAAAATGATATGAGAATTATAAGAGAAAAAATATGAATTAAATCAGGTTCTAGTCGTTTCCTCTACTGCTCTGTAATATTCTTTTGTTCCTTCTCTGTCTCTAACTATTTCATTTCATTTATGTTTTAATCAATTACATAGTAATCCCAAGGGAAGAGTGAAATTAGTTGGATATCAAAATGTCCAACATCATACAGGTTTTTTTTAAGATATCAATCTTTTCGGGTAAAATGGCTTGCAGAACCCAAAAAAGCAGAACAAGGGATAATCCAAACCATGGCTAGCATAAAGTTGCCAAAGAACCATATATGACATACTAGATATCTACTCTAGGTTTCTATAGGAAGAAGCAAATGAATCTTCCACCAAAAACAACATTCAGTAAGGGCGAGAGGTCAAGTATTAAAAAAATAGCATTCTTTCTTCTTCAATAAAAGATAAGGGACTTTAGATAGGGATGTAGCTCAAATAAGACCTGAACAGATAATAACTTGCATGGCTACACTCAACAAGAGCATATGAGAAATTCAACATACACAGGCACCAAGTGGAAAAGACTAAAGATTCCTAACAAAAATATGAAACAAAAGTACAACCACAAACGAGATTCCTAAAAAAGCAAAACCATATCAAATAGAACTCCAATTTGTCTGTTATTAGAACAGCAACCATGGATAACCTATGAGGAGATGGATGGTTGGATACCACAAAGCCTTCATGCTGAAACGATGACCCAGCTACGCAGTAAGTACAAACCATAAATAATATTGGGTTGTATTTAAAGCCCATCTAGCAACTAGTTTGTGAGTAAAAGCATGTGCCATGTTATACATGTCTCACTATTTATAGTTATTGTATCAAACTAGTTTTATTCTACACCCAAACAGTTCTATCCTCTCTTCACTCGAGCATCATGATGCACAGTTACAGTCTCAAATTGCAAAACCTCTTGATAATTGCTACAATCAGGGATGGACCGAGAGGAGGCCCCTAAAAATTTCAAATTCCTATATACTTTAAATATTTTTTATAAGAATATTTTCTATTGAGAATCTGGTTTCGCCCACCTTAAATTTTATAAGTTCTCCCATTCTTAAAATTTTATAAGTTCGCCCCCACTAACATAAAATCCTACGTCTGTCCCTAGCTACAATAGTAAGCAAAAAGTGCAACAATCATTAAAAGAAATCACAACTTTTTTGTTAGCTCCTTTAATACCATTGTCTCAATTTAAAACTATTAAAGGAAACTATTTGCTACAGAGAATCATGGAAGATATTTCTATAACCCAATACAGCTACTAGCAACAACACAGAAAGGAAAAAACCACCTAACTATATTAATAGACCAATTACTAAAAATTGTAACTCACAAGTTTCCCAATAGCATCATAGCTAGATGATAGCAATTTAGACAACAAATTGTTCTGCAGCTCCTTGTTAGATACATGACCAAGGACCAAGATGATTGCAGTAACGACTTCTTCTTCATCTTCCAAAGGAAGACACTTCTTCTCCAAAGCCTGTGGGAAGAAATGATAAAGAAATCAAATTACTGAATGAAATGATGAGTAAGTACCTAATCTCAAGAAGAAATATTAAAGAATAATATATGTTTTGACCCCTATATTATAACGAAACTGACACATAGACCCTTTTACTATTTCTTCGGTAACTTTGGCCCCTCTACTTTCATTTTGTCACCAGACCCCTTGCCATAAATGATTAAAAAGCTTACACAGCACAATGAGATGCTTCCATGTGCCAAAATAATATTAAAAACATTAAAAATTCTATAAAGAACTAAAAAAATCATAAAATCCTAATAAATATAAAATATTTCAAATTTTCAGAATCTATATTTTCAGTGACTTTAGCCCTTCTACTTTCATTTTGTCATCATTGTTAGCCCTTTGCCGTTAACCGTTAAAAAAACTGTCATAGCCAAATGAGACACTGCTATGTTTCAAAATAGTTTAAAAACATGAAAAATCTGAAGAAAAAAATCTAACTCTTTCTCAGAGTTATTCTATTTTTCTAGAAAATTATAATTTTATGAATTTTTAATTTTTTTTTAAAAAGTAATTAACATAATTACATTTTTAAAGAAATTCATCAGAGATTCTAAAAAACACAAAATTCTGGGAAAATCTTAGATTCTTTTTCAGAGCTCACTTCTCTATAATTTTATGAATTTTAAATTATTTTTAAAAAGAAATTAAGCATAATTGCACTTTAAAAACATATATAATTTGAAACTTTTAATTCTGAAAATTTGAGTATTTTAGTAATTTTGTGATGCTTGCAGATATGATCTATTTTTTATAACTTTTAATGTTCTTTTAAATTGTTGACCCATGGCAACACTTCAAATCATTAGGCCACATCAGTTTTTTAAGAGTTAACAAGAAGGGGTTAAAACTGACGATGTAATGAAAGTAGAGGGGTCAAAGTGCCAGAAAATAGTAAAAGGGCCAAAGTGACAATTTCGCTATAGTACAGGTGGGAAAACATATAATAAGCCAAAAGAATACTTTAACCATAAAAAGTAATGAATAAATAAAGCCAAAGAAATGATAATCAGAAAAAACATTGGCAAACAAAAGAACATGAAGAATAAATAAAATAAATCCAGAAAACTTAACCACAATTAGATGAAGCAAAAAGTATTCACTTTAAACATATAAAAGAACATGAAGAATAAATACCTCTCCTATCCACAAAAAGATATCCAGATTTGATGGCTCAAACATCACAGCAGAAGCATCTTCGCAAAGTTTGCGGAGGGCAGATGCACAAGAATTTGAGGAGAGAGGTTTTGAAATCCCTGCAGCAAGAAACAATCTGGAAGTAGCAAATTAGTGAAATAATGAAAAATTATTTATGTAAGATGATTATAATATATTCTAATAGAAAGAGAGCAAGCCATTGCTAAACAATAGAAAATGGGCATCCTTACAGTAAAGGTCTAGCATTAATTTGCAGGGTAGATAGCAACTTGGAATAGGAACCAATAACATCTGCCGCTGATCTGTAAACCTAGTTAAAAAGAAAAAACCTCCCGAGCAAATTCATTTTTTTCAACAAACCTATATTGTGAAATAGTATCCATTGCAATTAACCAATAACAACTGACATACAATGCACATGAATCCCTTGAGATCATCAGATGGCCAGGAAGACAACGCTGTGATCAACTGCATATCTACCAAAAAATCGAAAGTGTGGCCCCCTTGCAAGACTACATCGGAAACCTGTAATTGCAGGAGTATGATATTATTAGTATTACGAGAAAATATGAGGGACAGGTATGTTTGTAGAGTCAAGATGGATTCCCCCAAATTAGCAGCTGCTAGGAAACAGCTAGAGCATTTTGAACATCAAACGGAAAAGTGTGGCATGCATGACTTAAATAAAGATTAAACACAAAAACCCACGAGAAAGGTGTAAGACAAAAGGACTTTCCCAATAAATGCAAATATGGATATATATATACATGTCTTAATTTCCCATGCAAAGATGGAAAATTAATATCAATGCACCAAGAATTCAGAGGAAAAAAGAACAGTACATAGACTAATGTTGTGCTTACCACATTAAGGGCAAACAATTTTATTTCCACCTCTTTCCAACGTATAGCTGCATTTGTGGAAAACCAACCACTGAAGAAAAGCTGCAAATGGAAACATGGAAAACGATACAAGATTGAAAGAACACAACATTTTGTCATCGGAACCACTGAAGGGGGAGGAAGGGAATGTAACAATATAGAAAAGAGAAAAACATTATATGCTGATTAACATTCCTCACAAATAGGTAAAGTAATGTTGGTTCTAAAAGCTCAGTGATCATGATTGTATATCAAGCTTGGATCAATAAATAAAACAAGTGCTTGAACAGGAATAAAAAATAATTAAACCAATAAAGATGATTTCATCTTTAAGCAAGAGATATCATTGACCAGAACAAATTGTAAACTGGTAAAAACCATATGAACTTTGATTATTTTACAGCATCGGCACCTTTTGTACAAATGTAGCAGGTTGCAGTAGATGACACATATCCGCCAAAAGTTCAACAAGATCCATCCTAAATTGGACAAGACCATCTGGCAAGTCGAAAGTTCCACTCTCATCATTAAATGTAGATTCATCCACCTATGAAAGACAATTTCAACATATTAGTCTTTATTTTCAAATATAAATAATATAGACAGACATCCACATGCACGCATCACACTGACCTAAAAATGATAAGAGATATTCAACAGAGTAACATCAAATAGAAGCAATGGTATAGTAAGAATTCATGTCGTTGTTAAAAGTACATCATAGATGACCAAATTTGGGGCCATCAACCCAATTACACCCCTAAGGGCGTGCAATAGGAGTAGTGGGTAATCATTTGGACAGCTTTTTCTCACCTATCAGCTTGTTATTAATGATAGTGAGCATGAAATATTCAAGAGTGTGAATAATAGACCATGATGTCCCCTAAAAATGTGTGCGGATAGTCTATTTCTGGGAAGGCTTTCATGCCCAAAAGGCATTCAAATTGCAAAGGCAAATTATATCACTAAGCTACAAGAGTGGCACAGTTGTATCGAGGTTAAAAACGCATTCATCCGAACACGAGCCCAAAAAGGTTTACCATTGGACCTCCACTGCGAAGTAAATGAAGGTTCATCATTAAAACAAATTTCAGCCACTCAAGCCAAAATACAAAAGATTGCAGTATGCATCTCAGAATTAAGCTTAGAGCCAAAAAATGATAGAACCTATCAGTAATGTTCAAATATTTCTGTTTACTCATTCCATCTTGCTTCAACCAAAAAATATGCTGTCTAAAATAAGATGCAGAATACTAATAGTCTAATACAATTAACATGCAAGACAGGAAATAGAATTTAGCCAAACTAGTTGAGATATCCATACGTCCAGCTCCAATTGATTGCAATTTTGCTACATGTTTTCAGCTTTTTCCCCTTTCACAGAACAAAATCTTATTTTCCCCAAATTAATAAATCGAGTTTCAGTGCAAACATGATAATTACATATCTTAGTTAGAGAACCCATGAAACTCTTCCTTTTTTATAGAGAGGACTAGAAATTATAGCAGAGGACAAGTAAAGGATAAGGAAATAACCTGAGCACGTAGCAGAAGAGCATCAAGTAATGCTGAAAATACAGAAAAAAACATGCCTTCGACATTTTTCTTATTTGTACCATCAATGTCAAGATTAAGTATGTAGCTTGCAAGACCAGACCTGGAAATGAAAGAAGATTGAGAGCCTTCAAGTAACAAAATTCAACAACAAAAAAAAACATTTATTCTACAAAACAATATTTCTTTCAGCAGAAGTGTTTCAAAATATACCAAAATTGCAAAGTTGAATCCGCAATATCCCAGTCGTCACAGGGAAAAGCGACACAGCTGAAAGCAGAAATTACAGATTACACTAAATCTGTGATTAAACAAATGTCAGGATGAAATTTATGAATGAAAAGCAAAAGGTACCAAAACAAAGACCAAAAACTGGAAAATTGTGGTGGAGAATGCATCATTGCATCTATCACGGCCTCTTCTCAAATTGTTATCCCTTTTGCATATGACGGTTTCTATCATGCTTATAAAGGATCTATTACATGTTTGATAAGCCTTTAACACAAAATGCTCATATTAGTTACCCTGTAACAACACACCAGTAGGGGTGTTCATAATTCGATTAAAACCGAATTAACCGGCTGAACAGAAATTTCGGTCAGTTAACGGTTAATGGTTTTTTCAAACTTCAGTTATCAGTTAATTAATCAAATTAACAGAAATTATTTAAATATTTAATATATTATATATTATTTAGCTTTAGTGGTGTTTAAACTTCAGTTTTAACCGAATAAACCGAAATATTAAATATTTAATATATAATATATATTATTTATAAATTTCGATTAACCGACCAAGTAACCAAACTTAGTTCGGTTCGGTTAACGGTTGAAGGGAAAAAAAGTTGGTTAATGAATTTTGGGTAATTCGGTTCGGTCGGTCAACCGATTGAACACCCCTACCCACCAAAGCAAATGCCTCTCTGCTCATTTGACCACAATTGGATTTTGACACAGCAAGGTAAGGATGATTAAAAAACATGTTCACTCGCTTCCGCATCAATATCAGAATGCAATTGTTATTGGTGAAATGGAAGTTTATGGATCAAAACATCACCTCAACAGAGCATCTGTCAGAGCCCGTGCCTCAGCACTTGCCTCTACAATCAAAGATGGTTCCTAGCATGCATTAAAGTGTGGAGCGTTAATAAGGAAGTGATATGAAGATAAGCCACCTTAGATAACATCACTAACAGCAATGAGATGCCTGGTATAAATTTGTGCATGTATATGTGAAAACACTGTTTTCAAGGGAGCAGTGTGCAGGGCACCAAATCCTTAAATCACCCAAGGTGCGGATAAAGGAACTCACCTGAGTGAAGTAGCATACAATGGATACATGTGCATATGATTAAATTAAAAGTATCTCTAATAATACATCAAAAGACTGGTTTAATAGAAGTAATATTATTGGATCCCCATCAGATATACAGAATACTTACAGCCTGCCCAATTTCGGACATCAAATATGCAAGGCCGGCAATCACCTTCACATCTCCCCCCGTAAGAGCAGGTAGAAGAAGCATTTCTTTAAGAAAAGGTACTCTGCATAGCAAAACTTGAGGCAGCCCCTGTGAAAGCAAGCATAACAGATGTAACAAACAAAAAGATAAAGGTTTACAAACAAGAAAAGCATATAACTAAGGTCAGAAAGCAGGAATCATACCTCATGACGACTCACTAGTTCAACAAGAACTTCAATGGCCAAGTCAAATGAAGAGGGTACCTTAAACCCCAAAGAAAATATAAGTGCACAATAATTACTTGGCTCAAAAGTCATCATATTGAGAGTTAAAGTTTACCTGTAGTGAATTGAATACATAATTAAGCAGTGGATGTGTTGAAAATGAAACTTCAGGAATCTCAGAGAAGCACCCAGCTCGAACCTAAATAAAAGGAGAAAAATGTAATGGGGGTGATGAGAGCCATAGAATCAGTCGCCTAACAGCTTCGTTCATCATTTTTTTGAGTATATGGCTCTAAAAGGGTAGATTTTTGTAAAAATAAACATGCTAACTCAGGCAGATGTAGCAATTAAAACGCAATTATGTTAGAACCGACATAATTTTAAGTAACTATCTTACCCAACTGAGTAAGCAACGGAGAACTTTTCTGTTCCTTTCATTTGGTTGCATTCCACCTTCAAACTTATTTTCAGATAACTGGAGTAGGAATTCAATAATCATAGGAGTATGTGAAAGGAGCTGCTTTACATAAAAAATAGAAACATTGATAAAGGGGCAATTAAAACAGTAACCAATGAGAGGGAAATTAAAAAAAGAAAAAAGAAACAAGTCAGAAAAGATGGCAAACACAAAATGGAAAATAGTAGACCTCCTGTCCATACTGGTTTCTGTGAGATGCACTTATTTTACAATCAGTATTTTGGGTGTCAACAATTTCTTCTGGTAGAACAGTGAGCATCTCAAGTACGGCAACAATCCCATCATTCTGGGTCGGCAGATTTTGTATACTATAAAAAAGCTGTTCAATGGGTTTTCCATGCTCAGCAGAACGAAGTATAAGCGCAGAGAGTGCGAGGCAGATTTGGGTTAAAAGCTGTTATCAAAAGAAAACAGAATCTTAGCAAGGAACGGATCTTTTTCTTTCTACAAAATATAAAAGAAAACCATAGTCTTCACATGTAAATATAAAAAATAAAAAGCATCACCTGTGGAGGTCCCGAACCAAACCTTTTAGCAGCCACAAGAAGGGCATTAAGCAAAGCATCTTTAACTCCCAACTGCAAATAATACCCTTCATTCTGGATCTGCACCAAAATATTTGGAAAATGCAAGAAGCGTATTTTATCTAATCCGTCTCAATACTAGTAAAAGCAACCCAAACACGCAGCGCAAAAGCAAGTATGTATAGACTAGAGAGAACGAAGTGAACTCCTCGAAAGTTTTAAACATTTTCAAAAACCTGAGCATACCTTCCGTTTGAGAATCTGAGCGGCAAAAAACTCCACTTCATAATCAGAGAGGAAAGGTTGATGATCGGAGGAAAGGATGGAGGTGGCGACCTCCCAGGCTGCATCGGTCTGTTGGAATTGGACCAACCACTGATTCGCTGCGACACGATTACAAGATTCTTTGTCATGATTCAGCACATGGACTGCCTGCGCCACCTTCATTCGCAGCTCCATTTTTCTGATTCTAAAATTCTTAACAAAGCATCAAAAGCCAACGGCCTTAGACCAGACAAAGATGCCAGAAATTCCTTTGATTCATTTCTTCATTTCCCCTCCTCAATAATTCCTTCAAAAAATTTAATTCAACAAAATTACAGCTATACTATTTTTTCTTCCGTTAATTATTAACCATAAAATACAAAATATCCTCCATTTCATTTTCCATTCAACAACATGACGAACCAGAATTAACCAAACCAATAAAATTTACATTAATCATAAAACTTAAAACAAAATGAAGTCGAAAGTTACCCCATTAAGATATGAATCCAATTCAAATTCATGAAAATAAAAGCAAAATGTTATTTGCAATTCTAGATTTTCTAAACAACCCAAAAACCCTAACCTTCAAATTTTGGGATTTTAAATAGAGAGTAGAGCGAGGGAAGGGTGAAGTAAATGAAGCGCGGAAGCTGATTCTAGGCCTGATAGCAGTGGGTCATCACTTTAGAGCTGCTTTTCAAGGTTTCCGTTAGGGTACAAAGAATGAGGATGCAAATGAGAGAGACGGAAAGTGGAAAGTGGAAAGTGGAAAGTAGAAATGACCACAAACGGCGGAAGAAAGGGATGATTGAGTATGGAAAAGGAAAGGACTGGGTAGAGGAACGGCCTGACGGCGGCCGGAGAGTATATTTGATGTATTGCAACACGGAGGCCGATGAGCAAGCGACGACGGAGAGTGAAAAAAAAGGGAAGAAAATGTTAAATAAAAAGAGAGAAAGGATGTGTTTTTAGGGTTTCCCAAATTATTGCGGTGAACGATAAATCATGCACACTAACTGTTCGTCGCAAAAAAAAAACATTATTATTATTAAAATTTGTTCTTTTATCAAATTACACTTTGTTTAATTTAATAGTTTAAAATATTTCATACAAAAATATATTAATAAAATAACATTATAAAATATTTTTATAATCTAAATGAAAATTTTGTTAATAAAATATCTCAACATTAACGTTGAAATTTATTTTTAATATATCAAGTAATTTTTAAATCTTATATTATGAAACATGTATTATCGTACTACCTTATAATCATACTGTTTTTTCCCTCAATTCAATCTTGTTTATTCTTTAAAAATTCGTACCTAAATAAATTTAATCATCAAATAATCTTCCAACTATTAAAACTATAATAAAATCTAACTTATGGGACGTTTGGGAATGCTTGTGGAAGTACTTTTAACTCAAAAATTGTTTGAAACATAAAAATAATCTCAAACATCTCATTCTAAAAAAAATCATATTTCAAAGCTAATAAACTAATAATGTGACACTTTTACCTCTAAAATATTCAATTTGGATTGGATAAATATTTCTAAACCATATTAGAAGTTAAATTAATAATGTTAAAAATATTTTGATGTTTCGATATAACAAATTAAATGTTATTGGATTTCAAGATTTTCTAAATCATTTTCAAATATATATTCGATCAAACTATTCGAATATCAAAATATTACTTCAAGTTTTTTCAAGTGTCAATTTCAATCCTTACTCAAGTGTGTTTTAATCTTTTAAACAAATTTATAAAGTATTTCGACCCTTAATCGAGTAAAAAATATTTTCTTAATAAAACTCAAACCTTAGAAGTCAGATTGCCCATAGGGTATCGATACCCCCAGAGGGTACCGATACCCCTTGTAAGATTTGACTCCAAGAAATAACATATGGCTTTGAGGGTACCGATATCCTCCCAAGAGGGTACCGATACCCCTTGTAAGATTTGGCTCAGAGAAATAATAGATTGCTCAGATGGTACCGATACCCCCAGGAGGTACTGATACCCCCATCTATAACAGTCGAAATATTTGAATTTTACACAGCAGGGTACCGATTCCCTATGCATGGGTATCGATACCCCCCGACGCTCCAAGTTGTTTTATTAATTGTTTTCACACACTAACGACTCTATTAACTCCACTAATGATCCCCAATGTTCAGAAACGATCCAATGAGTATTTAAACAAGCTTAGAAGTCATTGATCAATAACAAGAAACAACTATCATCAAGAATCAAGAGATAATAAAAGAGAAAGCATCAAACCTCAAGTTTGAGCATTTTTCAAGTTTATTTCATTCAATATTCATTTTTGCTTTCAAGAACACTTATTGTGCTCAGTTGTATTATTCTTGAGTGTTCTTTCTTTGTTCTAGAATTATACAAACATCTTTCCTTGTGAGGATTTTCTTGTAAGTTTGCAAAATTTGTATTGTTCTCTTTGGGAGAGAATGTTCTCAAGAATTTGGGGTATAATTCTTGAGGGATTTGTAAGGTTACTCTTTGTCCTCAAAAGAAAGACAAATTAATGAATTTGTGGAAAATCCTTAGTGTGGATAGCTAAGGTAGTGGATGTAGACTTTGGTTGAGAAAGTCGAACCACTCTAAATCGCTGTGCAAATATTTTCAATTTTCTGCAAAAGCTTCCACCGAAATTTTTATTGCCAATTCACCCCCTCTTGGTCTATTCCATCGATCGATTAACTCAACAATTGGTATCAGAGCCTCACTCATTTGAAGGTTTAATCGCTTCTTGAGTCGATTCGGGAAGAGTTACATCGATAATCAAGTCATCAATGGCCTCCACTTCAAACTCCGACTTCGGTCTTGATTCATTGCCCGTCAACAAGCCTCCTTTCTTCAATGGAGCTAATTATGCTTATTGGAAGAATATGATGATGTATTTCATTCAAGCAAGTGACATGGGAGCATGGAATATTATAGAAGATGGATACATCAAACCTTCCACTCATCCAAGATTGTGGAGTGAATGAGATACGAGAATGTTTCATCTCAACTCCAAAGCTATCCATATTATTTTTTGTGCTTTTGGATCGGATTAATACGGGAGAGTTTCATCTTGTACAACTGCCAAGGAGATATGGGACAAATTACAAGTCACTCATGAAGGCACAATCGAGGTACAAGAATATAAAATTAGTCTTCTAACTCATAGCTATGAAAATTTTAGGAAGAAACCGGATGAAGATGTCAAAGCTATGACGGATAGATTCTCCACGATTGTCAATAGTCTCAAATCAAATGGAGAAATTATTCCAAATGACAAGCTTGTAAGGAAGTTAGTTTACTCTCTTCCAAAAGCTTGGCAATCAAAGAAGACGGTAATCATCGAGGCTAAGAACTTAAAGAAGTTAGTTTTGTAACACCCCCAACCCGTACCCGACCCGGATACGAGTCTGATGTGTCACATTGACTTTTCAAACTTTGACTCATGACAAAAACTCGAGAAAATTTAAAACTTTCATTAAAGTGATAGCTGTTTGTTTAACTTAATCAATTAGTACATGCCAACTATATTCAATATACATAATACATCTTATTCAAGACATCTTTTCTGATCTGATCTTTGGTAAGAAGTAACTGACCGGTCTTGCTCCTCTTCACTTTTCTTCTAGCTTTCCAGAACCTACGTGTGAAACACTCACACGCTAAGTCAATGACTTAGTGATGCATAAAAACATATAATCACTATTAATGCATTCATAATCTATGTAACACCCCCAACCCGTATCCGACCCTGATACGAGTCCGAAGTGTCACATTGACTTTTCAAACCTTGACTCTTAAGAAAAATCCCGGGAAATTTAAAACTTTATTTAAAACAAAATACAGACTTTATCAGAGTGCTCGTACTTAATGACTTATTACATGCCAACACTTTATACATAACCAAAAACATACTTTATCAAATATTTCTGATCTGATCTTTTGGTAAGGAAAACTGACCTGTCTTGCTCCGCATCACTCCTTACTCTTCTCGAAACCTACGTGTGAAACAATCACACGCTAAGTCGAAGACTTAGTGAGGCATAACCACTTATAATGCACTTTAAAACATATATTGATACATGCATGTTCTGTTCTATCATGTTATAGCAATTCCAGGCATTTTTCATATCGTATAGAATCATATCAGATTAATCGCAGTAAATTCATACATACACATAATTCATCATTCACATGTTATCATATAATCACATACTTTTTCAATCAAACACTATACACACAACATCATATAATTTCTATAGCATTTATCATACCACTAACTTATATTTGTTCATATCTCTGGATTAGCCCATGTATATATGTGAGAACTATCGATATGTGAGTCTATAGAGGTTGTGCACTATGCTGTCACCACAGCTCGTATAAATGCACCGAAGTGCCCCGTAGAATTGCACCGAAGTGCCCGTAGAATTGCACCGTAGTGCCCGTAGAATTGCACCGTAGTGCCCGTAGAATGATGTCCATAAGGACCACGTAGAATTCCTTAAGAATCATATACATATACTATGGATCAAGTATGTGTCTTTCAAGACTTCACACAGGTTCCAAAGGATATACATATGTCCTAAAGAACCGAATAAACCCTCGACTCTTGGCATGCCAACTATACCCCTAGCTCTCATGACACATAACATGGGCGTTATCATTTATTTCATTTCAAATATACACATAAACTTGTAATTCACTTTCACATATCACGTATCACATAGCTTCTTTTCATATGATCACATAGTCACGTAGTTCACTTACCCGTAGATCATTTCCATATAATTCACATGTCACATATGTCATGTTTTCATATAATTTTTTATCATTTCTCACCCAATCACCTTTATTCATATAAACATACTTATCATATCTTGTTCACATAAGATCATATACTTCATATAATATATCGAAACACCTAGAACACTTTCACGTAGCTTATAGTCATAAGTTTTGTCTCGTATCATATACTTGTTTTCACATATATATTTCCTATCAATTCTTATACCATCACATAATTCCTTTAACATACATAACATATCATGTAACATTATAATAGAAATACTTATAAGTCATATCACTTAAAGCACATATACTTATAGTCACATTGCTTATATCTTAATCGTATGCCTTCTCTTAAACATATATATTCACATGTTCAGGTAATTCACCATTTCATCACATAATTGGGTATTCATATAACTCATTTCATTTCATTTCATATCTATCTATATATATATATATCCTCAAGATTATCCTAATATAAATCATATAGCACTCTTATATTTCGTATTCATCTAGGGCAGACTTATAAACATATCTCACTTCTATTATTTCTATATATAATCTAATCTGTTACTTAATTCAATTTCTTATAGCTCTTATAATCTTCTCATATAACTTCACAAATTTCTATCATTCAACCCATATGTTATAGTTTTATTTAAACCTATGAATCTTTCCCATCTAGCTTATCTTATACGTTCATCTTATCATTTATGTTCAAATCCCCTAGTTGGTGTACTATTTTCACTTCATCCTATAGATCAATATTATCCAGTTTATTTCACTTATCATATAAAATATAATTATATTTTACTATGATCACATAGTTTATATCTCATACTTTGCTTTCTCATGTTCACCTATATCATGTCATATGGCTCATATCTTTCTCATGCAGTCACATAGTTCAGTTTCACATATGTATATATATACCTTATATAGCACATACTTCTCATAACATTACATTCAAAAGCATGTCAACACATATATTCATGCATACATACAATTCATGTCATTCATATACGTATAATCATATATTCATGCATTCTAACATAGGAAATAGACTTGTCGCAAGTCTTGTTTCCATTTAGCACCATAAACTAACTAATATGCACTCACCTGGCCTCACTAGCCAAATCCAATCTCTTATCTTTCCCTTGATCGATCTTACTTGCTAA